GTGTGTGTGTGTGTGTGTGTGTGTGTGTGTGTGTGTGTGCCTCCTCTGTGGTTTGGAGCTATCACAGTCTGATAAATGTCTGCTCTCAGAACCATGAACATTCTTCCCTAGAACAGAAAATCTTCACAACAATTTCTCCCCACCATTTGTCTTGCCAAACTTTTCCAAACTGACCTTTGCCCATGCTTTCTTATAACATGATGGTCCTGGCAATTCTTCTCTGAACCAGCAGCAGTAAACCCTTCATCCCAGGTAGCAACATCACCACAGTCACCAACACAATGAGAAGGAGCTGGCAATGTGGAGCAGTAACCACTGCTTCCATGGTCCCACCACTGTTTGTGGCTCAGTCCGGGCCGAAGCTTCTCCCAAGCCTCCTAGGCCGGCCTCAAACTCGGGATCCTCCTGCCTCTGCCTCCTTCAGCAAATCCTACCGGCGTGCGCCACCATAACCGGCATTTTTCGTGAATTTGTACCACAAACGTTGGGCGCCAGATGTAGCAGGAATATGGTGGTATTCTATTTGTACTGAAATGTGATTTTAATTGTATGTTAATAAATAAAGTTGCCCGGGGGTCAGAGCTATTAGAGCCATAGAAAGAGCATGGCGGTGGTGGCGCATGCCTTTAATCCCATAGATCTCTGTGTGTTCAGGGATACAGCCAGCATTGAAGACATATGCCTTTAAGACCTAGAGGGCTGTACTTACAGGCAGTGACGAGGCAGTCATGTGTTTGGGTTTACAACCAATGAGAAGGCAGAACAGAAACACTATTTAAAGTCATACACACAAGAAATAGGTCTCTTTCAGGGAGCTAGGAGCACCACAGGAGGAAGGGTAAGATTTTAGCTCTGAGCTCTGACCTCTTGGCTTTCTCTTTTACATTGGTTCTGTGTTTCTTATCTCAATAAGACAGTTGGTTACATCTACAAACATGCCCAAGTGAGATGTATTATTGCATACTAATATTGACCATGAACAATTGGATTTTCGTTTTTTCTGACAGTAGTGGAACTTGAACCTAGTTCCTATTTCATGCCCAACAAGTGTTCAGCCCTTGAGCAATAGTCCCAACCTTAACAGTGAACAATTGGAAAGGAAATGAAGAAAGTATTTATTTATGAAAGCACCAAAAAGAATAAAATACTTAGAATTAACTCCACCAAGGAGATAAAAGACTTGCACTCAGAAAACTACCAAATAAGAGATGATGAAAGAATACAAGAAATGACAGCCATTGGGGTTGATGGGTTGGAAGACTTAATCTCATTATTACTGTTGTTCTGCAGTACTGGGATTGAACCCAGGACTTTATGCATGAGAAGCAATGCACTATCACTGAGCTATACTCTAAGCTCATCTTTCTAATTTTTATTTAGAAACAGGATGTCACTAAATTAACCAGGCTGGCCTGAATGGTTGTGGTAGGCACTCTTAGAACTTTGGTACTCCTGCCTCAGCTTCTAGAGTGGCTGGAATTACAGGCATGAGCCAGCTTGCCTGAAAGACTTTTTTTTAATAGATGACAATATCCCTGAATGTAGCCTATCAGTTCTATGCACATCAGATCAAAACCCCAGTGGCATTTTGCACAGAAATAGTAAAGTCCATTCTAGCTGTCCCAAAACTCACTATATAGATCAAGCTGGCCTCAAACTCCCAGAGATCCACCTGTCTCTGCTCCCAAGAGCTGGAGTTAGAGGCAAGCTCCACCATACCCGGCCTTAAAAGTATCTTGAAAACAAAACAAGAATAAAATTGCAGGACATCCTACATGATTTCATAATTTTAGTACAAAGCTGCAACAATCAAAATATTCTCCTGCTGACATAAAGGCAAACATACAGATCAGTAACATAGACTTGGAAAGCCCAGACCTGCTCATGGACCCTGGCCATGATTAAATTAAAGATTAGTTAATATGATAAATATGTGTGTTTATAGGGCACAGTTTTGCGTATATATTATCATGTGTGTCAGATATGCACAGTTGGCATATCCAGCATTTCATCTGTCACTTTTTATGTTTGTTAAAAACATTCATTTCTGCCAGCCCTTTTGTATTAAATAGTGTGAAACAGAGTTGTCCTATTGAGTTACAGAATTTGGAAGACATTCTTTTTTTTTTTCCAGACAGGGTTTCTCTGTGTAGCTTTGCACCTTTCCTGGAGCTCACTTGGTAGCCCAGGCTCGCCTCGAACTCACAAAGATCCGCCTGGCTCTGCCTCCCGAGTGCTGGCATTAAAGGCGTGCGCCACCACCGCCCGGCTGGAAGACATTCTTGCTGTCCATCTGACCCTCTGTGACCAGATGAGTTTTGATCAGGCTGCTAAGACTACACAATTTTGGAAGAATAATCAGTTAAAAAAGGGATGTTGGAGCCGGGCGGTG